ATTTTTATTTTATTTTATTTACAATTTCAAAGAACAAAATTTACAATATAGACGATATATTATATATTTACTGCCCATATAGACAAGCCGCGCATGATTGATACATTTATTCACACCAAAGCACATATTTTAAAAATAAAATAAATAAATACTGAAAAAACTTTTCAAAATGCATAGTGTATAATATGTGTACAGTAGACAAGTCGAGTTGCGATACCGAACAGGACCACATGGAGATGCCAAAAAATCCTAAACCAACTGCTTTGAGCTGACTGTATATACCTACTACAGTACACGGATCCATTCAGAATGACTAAACACAGCAACATACACTTGACAAATCAAACACATCCTGAATGTGTGTGGAAACAACGTGAATTTACTGAAATATGTCTGTGCATAAATACAATGTACAATCTGTGTGTTAAGAGCACACATACATGGTTTGTTTGCACCGCAATCGTCTTTGTCTTGATTGCAATCCCCATCCATCAAAACCCGTTTGGAATAGATGCAGGCCAGATCTGGGCCAACACTATGTTGCTGTCTGAGATGTCAACGAGATGCGCCCCAGTGAAGAGACAGATCCCCTGCGAAGACCTTGTCACCTCGACGTCCATCAGCACAACAAGACCACAGGAACCAGACAAGTCCTCTGCACAATCGGACCTGTGTTGCAGCCTGGAATTAAACCACACCATGCTGGTTTCGTTTGACCAGAGGAGAACTGAGCCTGGTTTCTCCCAAGGTTTTTTCTCCATTTCTGTCACCGATGGAGTTTTGGTTCCTTGCCGCTGTCGCCTTTGGCTTGCTTAGTTGGGGACGCTTGACTGATTGCAGAGAACTGGATGATGACATCACTGAATCATCAATTAAATGACTTTAGCTGGAAAAATGACTCTTTATTATTGTCTTCTTGCATTATTGACTAACTATTTTCCTGTTTAACACTGTAAAGCTGTCAGTCAGTATTGTAAAAACCGCTACATAAATAATAATAAAAAAAATACACATAAGATAAAGACAATGGCTTTGCTGTGATTTCGGCTATATTTGCATGTAAAATTATAGTTAGAAGCAACTGAATATCTATTTTAACTGAAAGCGCTGCTCCTCTCATCCGCCCGCTGAACAGAACAGACGCAGAGAGAGAGAGGTGTGCGCCTGCTGGGATAGCAAGGCCTCGTGCTCGTGCAGCAGTACCGGCGAGTCTCAAAAAGTGAATAAGGTTTGTCCAAGAATTCGCTAGATTTGTTACGTTTTTTTGGAGAAATGTTGCTAAAGGGGACTGAAAAGTCACTAAATCCGCTAAGTTGGCAACACTGTGCCGCTCGGCTCCGCTTATATAGGGCACTTTCCCGCCCCCTTTTCGCGCGCTCGAGCACCATTGGCCATTGCGATGTAATGTCGGCGTTAAGGGGTCATATGATGTTGCTAAAAAGAACATTATTTTGTGTATTTGGTGTAATGAAATGTGTTTATGCGGTTTAAGGTTAAAAAAACACATTATTTACCACATACTGTACATTATTGTTTCTCCTCTATGCCCCGCCTTTCTGAAACACGTTGATTTTTTCAAAGCTCATCGGTCTGAAAAAGCAAGGTGTCCTGTGATTGGCCAGCTATCCAGTGTGTTGTGATTGGCCGAATACCTCAAACGTGTGACGGAAATGTTGCGCCCCTAACATACTGTGATGCCCTGTCCGGCCGGAGCGACGAGACTAAACCAATAAAACCCATTATAAACAAGGCATTTGTTGCGTCCAGTGGGGACATTATTACAGATTATAATGACTTTTCCTGTTTTTTTACGTGTTGCGTTGCATCGCATCGCATCGCACCGCGTAAACATAAAACCATGTCTGCATTTGTGATCGGAGAAATGACAAACTACAAACGCTACTCTACACTGTTCAAAACTCGCGTTTGAATTGTTAGTGGCAAATCCTTTAAATATAAAAAACTTACTTACAGTCTGTGAGTCAGAACAGCCGGCATTGTAGTCTACTCTCCCAGGTTCAGGAAACAGTCCTCCATAAAATGCACTGCACACATCTGAATATTTGGGTTGAACTGTTCTGGAACAGTGTTGTAAATACAACTTAACCACTGATTTCTAGTCGTGTCCTCTTTTGGAAGGCCAAACAAAGTAGTTTCGCTTTCACAACGAAACACACAGCGCCTTCACGACATGGCGGTGGCAACAACAATACTACAGCGAGAATAAAAGTTAAGCCTTCTTTCTTTGCATGAACATTTGGGCGGCGTTATGCAAATCTTCCCACATCGTGACGTAGACATGTGGGGCGTGTTAGAACGAGCCGTTTTAGGTAGGCGTGGTTGACTCTTAACTTTTATAAAGAATATCTCTTTGGATTTGAGACTTCACTCTTTACAACTTTACAGATCTTCTTTATGCACCAAGAGCTTGTAACATTTCAAAGAGAAAGGACAAATTGAAATCGTTTCATATGACCCCCTTTAAGGCTTAATTTGAGGAGAAAGCTGTTTCTCCAAACGCAACATCTCGTTCCCTTCTCTGGGAACTGAGGTTAAGTCAGTAACCATAGAAGTTATATTCCAGTTATAAATATGCCTCTGATTACAGATAGCCTGGGATTACAAAGATTTGTATTTTAAATAAAACCAGTTCGAAGGGAGCATAATTTGCTTTTTGGGTTAAAATAATTTCTTAATATGAAATTCGAATGGTATGACAATTAAGAGATTGGAATGTACAGAAATTGAAATTTACACGCTGCTACGCACTCACGTAATGCTGATGTTGTTAACATGAACAATTTGAGAATAAAGTATAACAATAATAATTTGCACGGTTTGATGTGATATGAGCTAACCGATATTTAGATTAATTACCAATTACCAGTGGTAGCGCGATTTATTGTAATGCTTTTTTCCTCAGTTGGTCAGAACAAACGTGGCAGACTTGTTACTTACTTGTTCGGATGACAATATATGGTGAAAATTCTTATTTGGGTCATATATTCCAAGACGTAGGCTAGAATCTGTGATTGCGAAGTACAGTAAATATCCACACCGGTGCGGTGAATGACTGCCACACACACACACACACATACTCCTCAAAACATTAGACTCATCCACGCTGGAGCCGAGCCGCTGCACAACGAACGCAAGGAAGATAATTCAGCAGATGGCTGCAATTCCAGGTTTTCAAATAGAGATGGCGACAAAACTTACATACTGCAGCTTTAACGTTTGTATAAACAATACATAAAAAAACAAAAAAACAACTGGACGTTTTGAACGTTTCTGAGAACATGAGAAATAATGTTTTCTTAATTTAATGGGAATGAGAATTGTTATTAGCTGGGAATCAAATTAAATAAAGAGCTGTTAAAAATCCTGTTAGATATTGCACCTGGTTCATGCAAAGCATTGGAAATGGAAGGTCGAGTGCCTTGCATTATGAGAAACAGCATCTCATGTGTGGTCAAAGACTTTAGATCAGGGGTGTAAAACTCAATTCCAGGAGGGCCAGAGCCCTGTTTAGATTCAAGCCTAATTAAACACACCTGATCCAACTAATCAAGTCCTTCAGGCTTATTTGAAAACTACATGGTACGTGTGTTGGAGCAGGGTTGGAACAAAACTTTGCAGGGCTCCGGCCCTCCAGGAATTGAGTTTGACACCCCTGCTTTTGATCTACAAAGACGGTGCACTCATATTACTTATGGGAGAAAGTCTAATGCGAAATATGGCTCTACAGTGCCTTCTAAATAAAAGAGCAAATCACTAATTGATAAAGTCATCGCTTCACTGCAGCCTCCGTTAGAAGCTCTGGTTGCTATAGAAACAATCATTATGTATGATGCCCAATTTTTTAAAAATCTTTTCCGATTTTAAAAGTCGTGTAGTGTATTGGCCGGTCTAGTCTGAAAAATCTGCTTTTTTAATGCTATTTGAGCATAAGAAACAAAACTTATGAGACATGTTTTCAGATTTCATTAGTGACGCCGAGTGAGATGACTTGCCTTAAAGGGAATTTTGTGGTGTGGTGCAGTACCAAATTTCCAATGAAATGATTAAATGAAAGAAAATCCTGAAATGTTCAGGCACAAATGGCACCGTTTCATCAGAATGACCCCATAACGGTTTAGTTTCCTCAGCGTCTGTAGGAGATTAAAGTGGTGCAGATGTTCAGCTGTCATTACTAATCCCTAAGTAAGTAAGTGAGACGAGAAACAGAACTTCAGCGCTTCAGAAAAGTTGCTGTTCAACATTTTGGTCCCTTTATTAATGTTATCACAATTCCAAGCAACAGAACCACCATGGTCATGAAGTCACCAGCTCTATATACCACTTTGCTAAACAAATAAATGATAAATAATCATTGGAAATAAGTAAAAATACACATAGTGAAGTAAAACAAAGCAGGCAGTGAATTCATGAAAATTCAAAAAGACCGTCCCAAAACAAAAAAAAAGAAGCGTAAGTGCCGTAACTTTGTGTGATGGCTGGTTTTCAGTGAAACATTCATATATTCTTCTTAAAAATACGGTTCAGAAGCTCAGAAACGAATATCACAGTCATATCACAGTTTTCGTGCAAAACTTTTGGATTTACAATTAAATTCACTAGCTTTTACCACACTGAAAAACGTAGACGCCTGGTTTCAGAAAGCTTGAAGTGTTTGAAAAGCTTCTCAACCAAATCCTGGTTTAGAAAAGAGTTGTCGGCTGTTTAATGGTCAAAATGCAGCTACACATTGTTCATGATATGCATCTGGTCTGTGGTTTTGGTGGCAGTCCTTCTATTTAATGAGAAATTGGCACTTCAAATCAAATGATGCAACAAGATTTACACATACATACAAATACTTTGGGGCTGAATCTCAAAAAGAAATCTATATAAATATGCATTTATTTATTTTTTATTAAGCAAATGAAGCTTTTTTTTTTTGTATATTTTCAGAATCTTGAAAATATACAAAAAAAAGTTTTTTTTAAAAACTTACAATAGACTATTGAATGACTTAGAATAGCCTCCATTATCTTGATGCTAAATATAATTTCTCATTATACAGTAGTTATTTGTGAGATTCACCCTGGGAGGTAACATATAAAGTGCAAATGACAAACAGAAAATACTTCAGATGCATATTTAATCTTTAACATTCACTGCCAACATCAAGAAACCAAAACCAAAATGGCAACGTCTATTTTTAGAAAGAACAAACACGAAAAGAAAAGACAGAAACGGCAATAGAACAAATATTACCCAAAACTTCCAACCTTTGAAGAATCTTTACGCTGGTCTGCAGGCGAGCGGCGTACGTGTGAGAGAAAGCAGGCAGAGTGAAAACGCATCAAAGGGAGGAACCACAAAAATCATCAGAATAACAAAAATTTCCATCCTCACGTTTCTCTGCAAATTCGCTCAAGCTTTGTTTTGATTTTTTCGATTTTCTTTAAATCTGTACAGAGCTCAGGGAAAGTCTATTTGGTTATTCCCAGCTGGCATGTAAAAAGAAGCTTTTTTTTTTTCACCGCCGTTCTTTACATTGAAGGGGAACATTCAAGGCGTATAGCTAAAAAGGAATAGGACTGTACAAGATCACTTCACGGTCCAGGATACACGCTCTGATGCTGGACATTGACAGAAATGGCAAATAACGTTTTGTTTTATTTATACAGTATTTTACAGCGAAGGGTTGAACTTCAGTTTCCTGTTCTCATCACAGAAGCACAGAGGAAAGACTGAACGATGAGATGTCATTCTGAGGAAGAAGAGAAGATTGCTTTGCATGTTTTTTCCCCTTCTTCACCTTTCGTACGTTCAGAAGGCATTCAAGCTCTCCAGAGCCACCTCGTAACAGAATTTGTACTGCTCCTAAACAAAAACAGATGCAGTAGCAAAAATGCATTAGCAGACGCCGCTCAAGGGGGACTTTCCCTATAACCCCTGTGTTAATAATCCAATCCCATCATCATAGTCACTTTTACTAGAAGAAAAACATCTGCTTATGATAGAGAAACGGACTCATCAGTCATCTAGATGTCAGAGGGTCCCTATACCTGGCCTGGGTGTATATGGTAATTAAAATCATTTTAATAATGCCACTTTTATAAAGTTTGTTAACATTGTTTATTATAACGGCATGTTCATAATAGAGATCACAAGCATAAATAGCAATGTCGAGTTGATGACTTTTTTTAAAAAATAATTATTTTATAAAAATCAGTGCAATCAATCTCTTCCCAACCAACCTAGAACAGACAGCCTTAGAGGAAATGAATTAGCTATAATCATTAAAAATAAATCAATAATAATTACGAATCTAATAAGATAAGTAAAATGAATGAAAATAAATACATTCATTCATTCAAGAGACTGCAGTCACAAATAGGAATTTCTAGCTGATAAAATCTTTTTGGAGTACAAATTTAAAAAAAAATCACTAAAGAAATTTTCATGAAGTTATTAATAGATACATTTCTTTTCCAGGCTAATGGCTATGGGTAACCTGACGTTAGTCCTATTTTGGTCCAGGATTGTATCAGACGGCCAGCTGTGGATTTTTCAGTTCTCTCCAGCTGAGCGAGATGCTTGGAGTGCAGTCAGGGGATAAGGGGCAGGATAAATGTCTACTTGCACCTGCAGCAGCATCCTATTAGACGCAAGACGTTTTCTCAGAATTGCAGAAAACGCAGCTGTCTGTCTCAAGGGTTTGAAGTGACCGAATAATTAAACTCTTTTTCTGTCTCAGAGAGATGCTGGGAAGGCTCAAGGAACTGTTACTTGGAACCATCAACAAACTACCTGAAGATAGCGACTATCTGAATATGAAACCATGATAAGATGAGGATGGAATCATATGGTGGTAAACAAAAAATGAAATGTTCCCACTTGTAATTGGAACTAGTGTAGCGAAAGAAATGATACAATCTGCAAATGACTAGCAAACAAGTGGCAACTCATGTTAATAGCTGTAATGTAAATAAAGCCCATTGGTTATATTAATGTATTTAAAAAAGGACCATTTAAACTTCCTATTTCCTTTGAAACATGAATAGAGGAAAGAAAAGTGAATAAACAGGGTCTTTAACTACACTTTACAAATAGTTACTTAAAGTACAAGTTACTAACAAAAAGTAACTTCAGTAAAGCTATATCATATATCAAGATCACATCTTACATTTTTTTATATATATTAAAGTATCAAGCAATATATTAATACACATAAATTGAACACAAAATTACTAAAAACATTCATCTGCACTGCTATTTAAAAGTTTGAGGTTGGAAGGATTTTTTATTTTATTTTACTTTTTTGAAGGAAGTCTATTTTGCTCACCAAGGCTGCATTTATTTGATTAAAAAAAACTATTTACATTTTAAAATAACGGTTTTATATTGCAATATATTTTAAATTGTAATTTATGCCTGTGATGGTAAAGCTGAATCTTCAGCATCATTATTCCAGTCTTCAGTGGCACACGATCTTTCAGAAATCATAATTCTAATATGCTGATTTACTGCTCGAAAAACATTTATTGCTGTTTAATATTCATATTTTACATTATAATATTTTTTTAAAGATTTTTGTGATGAATAAAAAGTTCAAATGAACAATTATTTGAAATAGAAATATTTTATAACATTATAAATCTCTTTGTGACTTTTGATCAATTTAATGCATCCTTGCTGAATCTTACTGACCCCAGACTTTTGAAGGGTAGTGTAAATTGACACTAAACACAATCTAAATAAAAACACACTAATTTATGTGAACATGCCAATAAACAGATAAGTACACTGAAACTGAACAACTGAAAACATACTAACAAACAGATATAGTGATAGATCTGTGTATAGCTCACCATTGTCTCCACCATGTTGGCTTTGTTGTTCCTCAGCGTCTTTACCGTGTGGAACACGTCCACGATGTTCTGCTGCTGGATCATCTCACAGATGCTACAGATGGCACAAAACGTCCCGCTGCGTCCTCCACCAGTCCTGAAGAGATCAACAACAGGAAGGCTTGAGAAACAAATCACACATCCCATAATGCCACAGATATGCAGAGTTAATATCCCAGCTTGACTTGACTTGACTTGACCAGTGCTACATTTCTGAAGATCGTAGGCCTCATGGCTCCAACCTTACTGCTGAAGTGTGGCATCTTATTGTGATGTTAAAATAGCTTCTAATACCTCAGTTTAATGTGCAGCCATATATAGTTTCATTTCCTTGGAAAACACAAACACTGATGCCACATTATGTACGGTTTAGAAATATAGTCTTCATCAGAACTGTGATTACAAAAGCAAAATGAACTGAGGCTTGTATTTGAATCTGGATGTTTGCTTGAACAGAGGTTATTGCAGAAATACCGACAATATCAAATAACGGCCACTGATCACGGGTCAGTTTTACACCTGATTAGTATCAGTACAATGACCTGACACAATCAAGCAGAGAATCATCTTCAAAGTGATTCATGCGGTTTGCAGATTGTCAGCATTACTGTGACATTTTAATGTTATTTCTCTCTGGGAAACTGCTCTGCATTCAACAGCTGAACTTTTTTGACAGTGATGGGAAAGTAATGAAATTGTCAGATCTTTTGAATCTCTCTGGCTTTAATTTATGATGCTGATAAGATTGTCCTTGGCGCAAAGGCTGTACGGTTTTATCCATTAGTACTTTAAAAGCTGCAGTTTTAAGATACGATTCTGTATCAACTGGTTCACAGTGCACACAGACTTGGAAGAAAAGCTGTGAAATACACATCTTGAATTATCAAAATTTGCTTGCTTAAACTCTTAATAGCTACAATAGACAGTGTCTTACATGTGTTCAAATCTGTAGCAAAATTAGTCTGGCATTAAAAGAATAGTTCATCCAAAAATTCATTGCTTCCTCCAGTGTCACCAAAATCCATCGACATATTTGTTTAAAACAGTTTTGGACTGTTTTCACTTCTAAATGGTTTTTGATCTGCGCATATTTCTCTCCTGATTCAGACAAGACGCCTTTTTTACTGGACGATGCATTATTACAGATAGAGGACTCGTTTGAAGTTAAAAACATCTTAATAATGGATTCGTTTCTTATAAACTTGCAGCTTTTGGCTTCACAAGACATTAATTGATGGACTGGAGTGGTGTGGATTACTTGTGGATTATTGTGATGCTTTTCTCAGCTGTTCGAACTCTCATTCTGACGGCACCCATTCACTGCAGAGGATCCGTTGATGAACAAATAATGTAATGATACATTTCTGTTCTGATGAAAAACAAACTCATCTACATCTTGGATGGCCTGTGGGTGAGTACATTTTCAGCTAATTTTCACTTTTGGGTGAACTATTCCTTTAAGTAGAGTCATGGCCAAAATTTTTTGGAAGTGACATAAATTTTGTGTTTTGCAAAGTTTGCTGCTTCGGTATTTGTAGATCATTTTTCCACATGTTTCTATGGTATATTGAAAAACAATGATAAGCATATCATAGGCTTTTATTGGCAAACAATATATATGGAGTCAATATTTACAGTGTTGACCCTTGTTCTTCATAACCTCTGCAATTTGCTCGGGCATGCTGGATATTAGCTTCTGGGCCAAATCCTGACTGATGGCGATCCATTCTTGCCTTATTAGTTCTCGGGAGTTGATCACACTTTGTGGGCTTCTCCTTGTCCACTCACCTTTTGAGGACTGTCCACAGGTTCTCTATGGGATTGAGATCCGGGGAGTTGCCTGGCCACAGATCCAAAATTTCAATGTAATGATCTTCGAGTCACTTCTTTATCACTCTTGCTTTGTGACATGGTGCTCCATCATGCTGGAAAATGCACGGATCATCACCAAATTGCTCATGGATCGTTGGAAGTTGCTCTTGCAGGACGTTTTGATACCATTCTTTATTCATGCCAATGATTTTGGGCAGAACTGTGAGTGAGCCCACTCCCTTGGTTGAAAAGCAACCCCACACATGGATGGTCTTAGGATGTTTCACTGTTGGCACAACACAGGACTCACTGTAGCGTTCACCTTTTCTTCTCTGAACAATCGATTTTCCAGATGCCCCAAACAGTCGGAAGGGAGTTTCATCAGAGAAAATAACTTTGCACCAGTCTTCTGCTGTCCAATCCTTGTACTTCCTGCAGAATTTCGGTCTGTCCTTGACGTTTTTCTTGGAGAGAAGTGGCTTCTTTGCTGTCCTTCTTGACACCAGGCCGTTGTCCAACAGTCTTGGCCACACTGTGTGTGCAGATGCTCTCACCAACCTGCTGCCATTCTTGAGCAAGTTCTGCACTGCTGGTGACACGATTCCATAGCTGACTCTTGCTGGACACTCTGGGACGTCCTGAAGACTTTCACTGCAGTAAAACCTCTCTCCTTGAAGTTCTTGATGATCCGGTAAATGGTTATTTCAGGTGCAATATTCTTTGCAGCAATTTCCTTGCATGTGAGGCCATTTTGATGCAAAGCGATGATGGCTGCGCGTGTTTCTTTGGAAGTAACCATTGCTAACAAGAACACAATGATTGGAAGCGCTTCTTCCCTCCTTTTATAGCAATTAGTCTGCTCTTACAATTGAATTAGTATGATAGTGATTAACTAGTACTCATTCACACGTTCCCATGTGCTGCTCATATGATCAGTCAATTAATGTTAGCTGGTCATTTTGTGTCAGGATCAAAAAACAGTGCAATTTGTTAAAAGTTAATTTTTTTGGCCAATGAAGTTTTTAGCAATTATTTAAAATGCATCTGATCAATCTACACAATAATCTAGAAACAATGTAAATGAACACCACAACAGCTTAAGCTGCAAACTTTGCAAAACACAAAATTTATGTCACTGCCAAAACATTTGGCCATGACTGTACATACAGTGCACATATAAGATGTCATCAAAAATTCATTATATTTCAGGGCCCATATTCACAAAACATCTTAAGGCTAAAAGTTGCTCATAACTCACCGATTTAGGAGAAAATCTTAAAAATAATGGGCGTGTCACTCCTAAATTTAGGACTCCTAAATTTTTGTTCTAAGAGTATTTCACAAAGCGTTTTAGCGCTAAAATTAGCTCCTATATCTGTGAAACGTTAGGAGTAGTGAAGAGGACTCCTAAGTCACTAAGACCAAATCTGAACTATCCTAAAATGGCTGTTGCCAGCAATCTACCTCGGAATATAAACATTTTAGAAACATTTGGTGATAATGAGCTTTTAAAAAGGTATCGGCTTTGGTTTGGAGGTTATCCCAACTCCAAATTTTTGATTATATCCTTAATATAGTTAGATAAAACCATTAGTTTGGTTTTCTTTTATGTTTGCATGTCTTACTATCAGCCATGAGATTATTCTACTCTGCTAATTAAAAGGCTGTTTATATGCATATTACCAAAATTGTATTAGTCGCAGAAAAAAAAAAAAATCCATATGAAGTGGCGAGATCACGCACTCCGTGACGGACAAGTCGTTAATGGCTGGTCTATGTGAACTATATCATCGAGCAGGACATCCATATGCTCTCCTAAGTCCTAACATTCATCGACCTCAAATATTAGCATCTGAAAAATGTATGTAGTAGCAACTTTACATGGCAGCTCAATCTAATGTTTTGTCATGTGTTTGTGCGGAGTGTGGAAGCTGAACAGCAACGCGCTTGGGCTACTGCATGACAGATGGAGGCGCCGGTGCGATCATTTGCTCTTAAAATACTTCGTAATTTTTGGTCATACAGATAAGAGCAATACATCTTTTGTATCTGTAAAGACTCTATGTTTATTCGTGTGGACTCAGAATAACAACGAAACGTTGCACTTTTGTAAAATAATGAAAGCAAACAGGATGCGCTTTCTGCCGTCTCAGACTCTGTGAACTTGAGCGCGTCACTTCGAAACTTCATGTATGCTCGCCTTATTACAGACATGAAAAATATATCTACAGAGAGTGAAACTTTTAAATGAAAAAAATTCAAATAGATAACAAATATTCTCAGATTATGTAATCCGTATGAAACATGCATACAGGCGCATACTGCGTAGATGACGAGTCAGTGTCGCTGACTTCATCTCTTAAACCGAAAACAGAAAGCACTAGTGTAACAATAAATTATTAAAACGTTAATGTAGTGTACTTGCTGTTTTTCCCTAACACATTCATAATTATTATATCTGCCGGTGCGCTGTGGCAAGCCTTCTTTGCGTGCGCTTGAGCGCTTATTAGGCAATTAAGGCTCATTATTATGATTTATATGGTTTATTAATAAAAGTGCGACTAATGGTCGACTAATGCTTAAAATGAATGACTACTAGTCGACCAGAAAAATCTTTAGTCGAGGGCAGCCCAAATGCATATTGACTAATTGTTTACGAGAAGCATACATATAAGAGGCTGACAATTAGCTGAATATATAGCCTACTTGTTTAATTAGTGACACTTGCATTTTGCCTGCATTTTAACATCTTTATTTGAATATGGCAACATATCAGCCAATCACTGTGTGCATAGTAAGTATGCTGACATCATCCATAGCAACAAGGTCAACCCTGCCCTTACTCTTAGACTTCTCTCTATTCCTTAGTAAAAGTTTGTCTCAGCAGCTTTGTGAATAGGTTTTAAGAGAAAACTCTTAGCTAAAAACTTTTACTGCTATTTAGGAGAACTCTTAGTGGTAAGATAAAATGTTTTGTGAATACGGGCCCAGGTTTATACCGCACAGTGCACACACCACAATATTATCCTGCTATGTGTTTTGCTATGTGTCTATTAATATTGTCCAATCTGCTCATCACAGGGTTTCTCCAAGCAAGACTCATTCATTCATATGTTAACATGTTTATAGGTTTATGTATAACAGCTTTGTGTTGTGATGGAGCTGGGGTTGTGGAGGTCACACTCACAGACAGTGGACCACCGTGCGTCCGTCTCCTCCGTCATACTGCTCCTGCCACTTGGCCAGTCGTCTGACCAGCTGCAGAATGGAGCGTTTGGACAGCGGAGTGTCTCTGTACGCTGGCCAACCAATATACTGGAAATGTTGGACCAGACGGTAGCCGTCTTGAGGCTGGAAGCAGAACAGGAGATGTTTTGAGAACATTTATCCAGAAAACATTCATGTTAACTCATGTTTCACAAAGTGACAAAATAAGTCTGCAAGCCAAATTAAAGATCTCAATATGAACTAAAACATTTCTCAAATTCGTCCTAGAACAAATGATCTGAGCTGCTATTCACATTCATTTTATTAAAATTGTTAATAAAAATTAGTGCTGTCAAACGATTAATCGCGATTAATCGCATCCAAAATAAAAGTTTTTGTTTACATATGTTTGTGTACTGTGTATATTTATTATGTATATATAAATACACACACATACAGTATGTATTTTGAAAATATTTACATGTATATACATTTATTTTATATTATATATAAATATATTTAATATATAAACATCTTTTTCATAAATATATATATATGCATGTGTTTGTATTTATATATACATAATAAATATGTACAGTATACACATATATTGTGTAAAGAAAAACTTATCTTGGATGAGATTAATCATTTGACAGCACTAATAAAAATGATTATTGGAGTATGTTTCGCAAGAATATACTAGTCTTTCTTCATTAATATTATTATTAATTATATGTGTTGCAGTTTTTGTAATTAATGGTGAAATTTACCATTTCTGAGTAAAAATGGTTTCTACACCAATTTTTTAGTGTACTGGATAACAACTATTGACTGAAACTGAAAGTTGGTTTGGAAAATTATTGTAACTATTTTGTCTACATATATACATATATATATATATATATATATACATACATACATTCACAGTACCTCCGATTCTTGCAGTGACAATGAAAAGCAAAAAAATTAATCAGACAGAAGCGAAAGCAAACAGAGATGTCAGCTGGAGACTAAGACCGGCTCAGCTAAATGAGAGTCATATTACACACAATTTGCCATCGATGGAGCCATTTCATGGTAAATTTGTGATGCTGTGGCACTTATTTATTTTGTGCCGCTATGCTGCGCCTGCACTGATTAGCTACTGGTAAACCTCGCCTGTCACCGGCGGTTAAAGAGAAAGAGGGGGAAGAAAAGAGAAGGGAAGCAGGAGGAGGCGGAATGAGTCTTCTGAAACGTTTGACTCTTGAAACACGTCAAGCTTCAGTAATGACCGCTAATGTGCACGAACAGAAAGCTCAAGATAACTCACATGGAAAAGAAGAAAAACGGCACAAAACCCATCCATGGCTTATATCAGCTGTAGCGGGATGGTGGTCAAATATTTATGTGATTATTGTGCTCATGCATATGTGTCTGGCAGAACGAATCACGTTCAAAGATGCATGCGATGTGCTGAGTGTTGAAATCATGTGGATTGAGAAGGACTATAGAGTTGTGGTCTCTTTTAAGCTTAACATAATTTCTCACTTCACTAACTCAGGGTCATAATCTCAGCTGCTGTTGATTTACTGTCACATTAGGAGTCAAATCAAAGTGACTTAAGTGAATTTTTATCTCTTCTTGGAGGATTTTTGCTTCTAAAAAGCAGTTTTATTTTAGCGAGTCACAGTAAGGATGGATTGACACCGAGCACAAAGTACATGAGGAGTTTCAGGGGGTTCAACTTGGCTAATCTGTTGAGGTTCATCATCAGGGCACCTGTTTGAAAACCATCAATACTTTATTCACTTCAATAAGGTGAAGCTAATGGCAAAGAAACACTACAGATTAAAGTTTTGAACTACAGTTTTTTTTTGACAGCACTCATTTGACAATAATAATTTGAGCAGCTGTTGTTATGGATTCTCCTCCGGTGAACATGACCTGTTCACAATCATATATTTAGCAGCAAGTAAAAATACACACTAACTTTTAAACTTATCTTTGAAATGTTGCTTGTAAAAACAATTTATGGACTGGGTTCATATGTATCACAGTTTCTGCAAAAATATGAAGCAGATCAACTGTTTTCAATGTTGATTAAAAAAATGCTTCTTGAGCATCAAATCATCATTTCTGAAGGATCATTTGACTGAAGACTGGAGTAATATCTGCTGAAAATTCAGTTTTGTCATTACAGAAATAAATTACATATTAAAACATATTAAAATAGAAAATAGTTATTAACTTGTAATAATACTTCACAATATTGCGGTTTACTGTATTTTTGATCGAATAAATGCAGCCTCCGTGAGCATAAGGAACTTGATTCAAAAACATAAAAAAACAACAACTCTGAACAATACTATAAAAACCTTTGAACAGGAGTGTATTTATAAAATGTGCACCCTGGTCTGGGGACAAAAAAGCGCAGACCTGGTTGGAGTCTGTGGATCAACAAAGGATCAAATGACATAGTGTGAGAGGAAAATCAATGAACACATTTCTGCCTCAGTCACTCGTAAAGAGCCACTAAACACTATTCCCTTTCCCTGTCCACTGACCCCACTTACCCGTGCCATGTTACAGATTCTAAAAATGCGATTGATAATGTCCTCGTCAATGTCAGCGGAGATGAATTCAGCCTGAATGGGGCCGTAGCAGCAGGAGCCTTTTTCTGGCCAGTACTGCATGCAGAGCTGCAGAGAGGGAGAGAATTACAGCAAATCAGTACACTGAACAGAAGTTCACATCCAGACAACGTGACTCAATAATGTACTTTGAAATCTAAAGAGTGCAAGAGAAAATGGAAATTACTCAATAATTCTAAAGTCCACTAATCTGAACTCAAATTGCAGTGTGCCAAAGAAATCTGTTCCAATGATCTCTTACTTACTCAAACTTAAATGAGCCACATTATGACGAATCAAATTTCCCTTGATCTTCTCAGATAAAAGAATATAAAAATATACTGTAACTTTCAGAACTCCAATCTTCCACCCAAGTGAAAAAAGGCCATTTATTGAAACTAAACAACTGAAACATATAATTTATAACTTTTCTGACATTTCTGGAAAAAAGGTTATGTTATAAAAAAAAAATGCATCATTTAAAAAAAAAATATCTTAGTTATATTTCATATATACACTACCATTCAAAAGTTTGGGGTTTGTACTATTTTATGCTCAACAAGGTTACATTTATTTAATCAAAAATATAGTAAAAACAGCAATATTGTGAAATATTATTACAATTAATGTGGCTGTTTTACTGTATATTTGAATATATTTTAAAAGGCAATTTATTATTATTGGCAAAGCTGAATTTTCAGCATCATTATTCCAGTCTTCAGTGTCACATGATCCTTTAGAAATCATTCTAATATGCTGATTTGCTGCTCAAAAAACATTTCTTCTTATTACCAATGTTGAAAATGGTTGTGCTGCTTAATATTTTTGTAGAATCCTTTTTTTTTTTTTAGAATTCTTTAATGAATAGAGGGTTCAAAAGAACAGCATTTATTTGATCAATAATGTAAAACTTTTGATCAATTTATTGTGTCCTTGCTGAATAAATGCATTAATTTCTGTAAAAAAAAAAAAAGAGCCCAAACTTTTGAACGGTAGCGTACACTTTATATAATAAATCCCATCTTCCAACATCCAATTGCAACAGATAACAAATGGAGGTGAGGGTCAAGTACTTCACATACCTGTGCAGCATCCATTTCATTCAGCATCACAATAGTGGAGCAGTTGTAGTCGAACACTAGCCTCCAGAAGTCGGCCACGGTGTTGGGCAGAGGGTGCTGCGTTACGATGAACGCCGCCGGCTGTTTGTGGCTCTAAGACAATCAATAAGAGAACACGTTAACTCTTCCTTCCAGCACTGAAGATGTGCCTGAACCCAACACATCCCAACGTGCCTCACATGTGTAATGACCGAAACTAAACGGAGACCTGCAGAGGGACAGGAACACAGAGACGGAGTGATAACCTTGCCAAGGGATCCATTGACAAGGACTGCAGAGGCTTCGTTTGAGACAAACACACACGCTCTGCTAGCACGGGTCAGCCGTTCATTTCATTTGGCTGCTTATCTTCTTTTTTTCATCTTGTTGTTCTTTATCTGAGGTGTGTGTCTTCTGTCTTGATTATCCTTTTTGGATGCTGCGTGAAGATGCTGGTTTACGGTACGAGTGTGATTATGATCTATGTGTGGAGATTACGGAGATGTGATCTAATCATGTACTCTGTTAAATTGGCTTGTTTATATGAGATTGTTACTGTGTGATCTCCTGGCCGTTCTGCTCCGCTTACCTGGGATTTATCAGAGTGCACTATGGGAAGTGCTGTAATATATAATGTTTGAGTTATTTACTATAAACCATACTGCAAGTTTTAGAACTCAAAAAATTGCTCCTTAGTCCGAATAAACCATTTATCAACACTGAGCTGCAAAAAACAACTTGTTTTTCAATATTCATATCTGTGACTAGATAAAATTCATGAAGCTATGCAAACAAAAATCTGCACAAAAAACTCCACATCTATGCTTTTAATATCAATCTCAGTCATCTGTCTCAAGATGTATGTTGCACTGATCTGATTCATGCGAGTGAATGATTTATTTAAATTCATTTATTAATTTATCATTCATTTATTCCAGTCATTCATTTATTCCAGTTTGTTTAAACATCCTTGTAAATGAACACACTGAAAATGATTCGACTGAAAGTCCCTACATGTCATTTTAAGTCTTTTATTGCAAAATGTTTAATTTTTTAGTTGTATATAGTGTACATTTTGATGTCACAGTTTGAAATGATCATTCTATTTGAGTTTATTCACTCAAAACCCTTTATGTGTCTTTTAAGTAACTTTAATGTAGCTAGCTACTTGTTAGCAGCTTATAGCTGACTTCCTTTTCAAAAGAGTAGATTGATTCTAATTTAATTACTTTAAATTACAAGTAGCCTGTAGCTTCAAGCTACATTTTAAAAGCAGTTTCTCCACAGAGTACAGACAGCAAAGACCTGCAAACAAAAGTACAGCAAAATGGCAAGCGCCAGCAATTTATTTGAGGTCATTGTGAACACTCCTCTTATAGTTTAAAAAAATGGCCCGTTTAATCCTAAGTGTTGGAAAGAGGATGTCAAATGAATGAATATCTAAATTCTGACTAAAATGACTAAATTATGAAATTACAAATTATGTTTGGGTGTATTATCAATGGAAAAATATATAATATGACCCCTTTAAAATTCAACGCAAGATTGACAACAATGTAACTATACTAGATTTTTACATTAAACAAAGTAGGCCAGGTGACCTCTAACAAAAGCGATAAAACTTACATCCATCAGTGCTGCATTGATGTAATTGCTAGACTCGCCATCAACAGAAATGAGGAAAGGCAGGCAGCGGTCCACCGCGAGGACGTCCATGCTGCGGTTCTTATCGTGGTTACGCGGGAGCAGACCTACGCTGCAGTCCTCCGGACGGACACGCGGTGTCACTATATTCAGAGTCTGAAGAAGAAGACACGAAGGACTGTAACATACGCCTTTAAAACACAGAAGAAGATTAGGCTGCTCTTGGTCTTACTTGGGGAAAAATGGTGCCTTTATAAAAACCAATTCCGCTCGCACTGCTGGTCCAACCACAAGCAATGCAAATATTTTAGCAAACTGAAGGTCAGTCATTACTTATGTATAAGACATACTGAAGAACAGAGACGTTGAGGGAGAGAGAGACACAGTGAAAAATAGCTTACAACAGAGAAAGATGCAGCGCTAGATAGAAAACGAAAGATCTGGGAGGAAAGGAAGATAGAAACATATTCATCATATTTTATGAGACACCTCACAGATCTGAAGCTTTGCTTCCCCCTCAGACGGTAGTGGCTCGCTCATTTCACAGGGAATACAAAACAGAAAGGCACCATGAAAAGAAATAGCTCAGCTCTGGGCTTTATGAGGCTCTAGCAGTTCGCCGATGGCTTGTAAAGAAATGCTTTCTCCCTTGACGTTTGAGTCACGGTGTCTTTACTCACCTGTCTCATCTAAATGCGTTAAGGACGCCGCAGCACTTTGCCGATTGACTTATTCAAAAGCGCTTCGGATTTCGGAGTAATCAAGATGAAATCACACCAGAGAGCTTGATAAAGTTGTTAGAAATATAGCTGTGAGGCCTTCAGCCATAATAGAGGACTACCAATCAAAAGCAAAAACTTTGGAGGATTCAGTAAATTAGGCTTCCACGTGGGCTACTCGTGTAGCTGCAGGAACACGAAGCATGAAGCTTAAAAAAATGTATGTTCCTAATCTTTTTAAGATTCTCTTTAGTATCTCATTTGCTCCTCCTAGACTGTAATGAGATTGAATGATGAGCAAATGGAGGTTGATCTACTGAGAAATCAGATTTCTATAGTGTCACAGATTGTGCTCAAAGTCTGAAATCAAATCTCACTATGAACTCAAACATTTCTCTATAAGTTCTTCAAAGACTAAATGATCTGAGGTATGCTATCCACAATAATGTTTTAGGTCTTCACTTTTTGTGTCTCCTGGGCTATGAAAGAGCAATTTCCCTCTGGACATATTAATTCACTTATTGTTTTGCTGTGCAAAGCGTTAACTGTTGTACTGATGGTATGGTCACATTTTAGAAGCAATCTACATAAGAAAAAAACAATCCATTTGTGTAGACTGCTCACCTGAAACTCATCTTTGATCTGGCTGGAGTTGGTCTGAGGGTCCAGTCTGCTGATGTTGTAGTAGATGGCTCTGAATTCACACACTGGGATAGCTGTGTTCCCACACAAACATGCTTCCAGTATGGCGTCATGCACAAACACATACTGCTCCTGCAGAGAGAGAGACATAGAGATCAACACTCTCTATGTCTAATACTGTGGATGTCTTAACATGAGACACTTCTTTCAAAAACATTAAAAAAAAAACATCTGAACGGTAGTCTTTATACCTGTATGTGTGTGTGTGTTCTAAAAAACATAGTTTAATTTCTTTTAACCAGTTTAATATTTAAACGTAATGTAATATCAGATTTACAATTCAACCCTATTGAAGTCACTTTTAATTATCTTGCTGATTCAAAATTATTCAGACAGCTGGTAGCTTGTAGGCCACTTGAGGAAACCTCCCTTTGGCATTTTAGTGCCTTTTTTAATAATAAAAACAATAATCACAGCTCTAAAAATAATTAAAGGGCTTGACTTAAACTTTTACATCTTCAAACCAGCCAATCTACATAATTCATGAACATCCAAACACATACGTATAAAAAGCCTGAGCTCAAGTTGAGAGTGATCGTCGCACAGCATCATAGCAAATCATCAGGGAAATATAAAGTCGATACTCCCCACAAATGTCAGTATGAGAGCGGTGCATGAACATTGATGCATGAAGCACAATTTGCTGATGGCGAAATGACTCCAGCCTAAGGGATGTTTTACATGGATTACAGCGTTGCAGCTTCTGATGCCGAAATCCTGCGGTGACAGCAACGTCCCCCAAAACCGTTCCAACTGCGGGCTTAAAAATAAGATCAAGGGGGCACTCAAAGCACCATCCCCATCCTGCAGCTAAAATTAAACTCCTTCTTAAACCCCGGCCCTGAATATGAGATGGAATTATCCATATTTTAACTCAACAATGCCTCTGGCTTAAAGGTTTGAATGTTAATGCAGGCCTTTGATCCACGCTAAGCTAAAGTCAAGCTGAGCTGACCTCTTGTACCTATTACTCCATAACCTGGTGAGCACTTCTGCGTAGGGCTGAGGACAAAAGACGAGGAAAAAGCCTTTTAAAAGATTAATTGCTGTGTGTTGTGTCTGCGGAGGATTAGCTTTGAATGGAGCTGCAGGCTGACACAAATTGCCTCCCAGAAACCATTATCACCACCACTGTGTTTAGTGTTAGTCTTTTAAAAGCTTGCTGTCCTCATCGCAAAAAACATGTAATATTAGAATGGATCGAATAAAATGGCATGTTGACTTGATATAGTGTGTTATTTAGTGAGCATAAATAATAATAATTCTAATAATTATTATTAATATTTAAACAACAATAATTTATTATTATAAATAATAAAATCATTCATCATTGAACTAAATAATTCAGCACAATGGGTTTTCACATCAAATGCTTGAATGATTTTCAAAAAAAGAACGAATTTTCATCCACCACTAGGGGGCATGACTTTGAATGCCAAGATCCAGTAAATTCTGTGTAGGGGATCTGCCTGTCAAAGCCAAGGCAATTTCTTGTTCTGGCTGTTCTGATGTTACAGTGTGGAGATTAATGTAGGGAAGAGAAAGGTTATCTAAGTTTTAAACTGAAAACAGATGGCTTCAATATCATCTTCACAGACTGGAGAGCTTAGTAGAAGGCTATGTGAGTATGAGTGCGGTTCTGAGGGCGTGATTGAGAAGTAAGTAAACTAGTGAATGGGTTAGTAAAAGACTGCGTGTGTGAGTGAATCATTTAATATATGGATGAATGAGTAAATGAGTGAGTATATAGGCTGTGCATAATCTGGCTGCCTGAATGAAGCTGAACAGGCAGTAAGGTGCATTCTGCTCACCTCCGTCTGGACCATGTTGACTCTCTGTGAGCGCAGCTCTCTGATGCAGTTGAAGATGTCCACCACACCCTCACTCTCTGCCATGTCCAACATAATGTCCACTGCAATGAAGCAGCCTGTTCTTCCAGCACCAGCACTGCCGAAATTACACAAGAACAGGTTTATGTGAGGCTTTTGAACGCACAATCTATCTATCTATCTATCTATCTATCTATATTACACAACACATTCACAAGACTGAGATTTCTGCTAAGATCCAAATGTTAGGTTCTGGCAGACCAAGATGCTTGTGTGTGTGAGAGAGCATTTGGACAGAAGATGTGCCATCAGTCACTCTAAAATGACACACTCACAGACACACAAATACAGAGCAACTCCACGGTGTCACAGATTGGCCGACGGTGATTAATGGTGCGAGCGGTAAACAACTGACAAAAAGAAAGCAAGGGACAGAGAGGGAGAGACAGAGAGGATGTCCTTTACACCTCACATCCTCAGTCATTGATTCACTATTATCTTCATCCCCAAATTACCATAAGTTATAAGCATACTGTATCATAATTGATATTCATCGTAACTGATACTCAAATTTCTAAGGCTTCTCAATGATCTACATGATCAAAGCTTTTCTAAAAAAAAAAGAAAAAAGAAACAGTTGTACACATTCTACTACATGCCTTCTGTCGCCAAGTAAAATGCCTTTTAGTATAATAGTGAATATGTCTCTCTTCAGGTTGTGGTTCTTCCTTTGTCTTGAAATCTTGTGAAATAAATACACAGATTTTTATAAAGTAAACATAAGAATACATTTTATATTGTTAGTAATATTTCAAGATGAACATGTACTGGACTGAAGCAACAATCATTAACGTACAGTATTGCATTGCATTATATGTTTTTCCCCTATAATATAAACTACAGAGCTTCGATCATAAAACTAGATATTTCTATGCATTTTATGTAAGTAGTCTGCTATACTGATATAAAGATCTCACTGTTTTACATTGTTTTAGATTTGGTCTTGTTTCAAAACACTGTTTCATTAAAAAAAAAAATTAATATGTCAGGCTTTACAGGATTAACATATGCAACACTGTTTTTAATCAAATTGGCAAAAATCACACACTAAGAAACCTCAAAAATGACAACAGAGCTTCGTAAATGAACCATATTACAAAGTCCTCAGATGTCATATGATAATTTTGCATTGCATTTACTGGTAATATTCCCCTCCACTATAGATCTCAAATTATTATTATTATTATTATTTTTACTTTTGTACATTACAGTTTAATATGGTATGTCAGTTTGTGTTGTGTCAGGTTTGATGACAGTGACCAACATTATTGGTGCTCACATATCCTATTACTGACTTTAACCCTGCGAGCTGCAAGGACATTCTGCTAAAACTAATTTTGTGTTTCATGGAAGTAAGAAGGAACATTTGGAATGTTCTGAAAAACTATTGCTTGAATCAAAATCTTAATCTCTGCACCACGAGCACTTGACACTTGGGCTAATCCGCTCTGAAAGTTTCTTTGTCACATCTGCTTCGTCTCTGGGATTGCAGGGCCGACTGCAAATTTACACTGCCACTTCACAGTCTCCTGCTGTCACCTTTCATTCTCAAACCTTCTTCCCACACTGCCCCCAATTACTCCCCACAATTGTGAGAGCGAGTCTGTCTATCTGTGCGTCCATCTGTGAGCACGACGTGGGCATGTTGTGGACAGATTCATGGGTGAATGTCTATCTATGTGCCGAAGCATCCTACGTTAGTGTGAGAATGTGAGTGTGAAAATCATCTTCTCTTCTACCTCCCTGGGTTCTTTTACTTGTTACATGAGAAGTTAGTTATGCTGCCAGCAAGTGCTCATCTGGAATGCCAAACGTTTGAGATAACATAAATATGTTTAAATACATTTAACGCAATCAATGCATTCACCTAATTTCACAGTGGTTTCAATTCACTCTACTCTCTTACTAAAGACTCATGTGACATGCTCTCATTTATCAGTAAATGATGGTGAAAGAAGGGCTTCTGAAGGGCAATGTTTATAGGGAGGAATTTAACATCAGCATATAAATATCATCTACAAGATCACATACAGAGACCAGAACATTCTAAACACTTGTGGGTGGCAGTTTTTAGTATTATTTGTAAAACCATTATAACATTTATTAATAACTTTTTTTATATTTTCAGTTTTCATTTAAATTTTTCAGAATTTTCTCATTTTTATAATTTTCTAAATAATATTCAATTTTTAATTCGTTTCAGTTTTAGTTGTAGTAACTGTAGCATTTCATCTTATTTATTTCAGTTAGTTGCCAAGACAACAGTTTTTAAAGTTGTAATATGTCATATTTTCATTTTATTTTTATTTCAGCTCTTTCAATTAATGAACATTTATTTTTAATAGTTTTAGTTAGCAATAACACTAGTGGATGGGCTCTTTTGACTTTAGCCAGTAAGCAACCTCTCAAAAAACCCTAGTAACTACCTAGCATTTATTCTAAAATTCTAAATAATCAACAGACCTCTCACCGTAGATTCATAATCACACCACGAGTCCAACTTCAAACCAGAACCTTTGACTTACAATAATTGTATGTCAGAAGAGTGAGAAAGGGACATAAGGTAGTAAATGCAAGAGAGGTTTAGATAAGAGCGTACCTGCAGTGTACCACGATGGGTCCTGCATCTGGAGCATTGAGGAACTTGACCTGGCGGATGAAGCCCAGCAGGCCTGTGGCGTAGCAGGGAACACCATGATCAGGCCAGCTGGTGAAATGGAACTGCCGGATTTCTCGAATCTCATGGTGACCCTTCTGCAAACAGGAGCATGTGGTGAGCTTAATATCAACAGGTGTCATCATCTGAGGGTAAGAGGCAGGTGATCATTGTAGAAGATGGCTAGGATTACAAGACCCAATAAATGCATGTCAATAACAATCAACACCATGTAGTTTTTATTATTATTATTTTTTTTTTGTGAGTGTATACAGTTTAAATACCATGATACCATGGCCACAACATTATGGACAGCAAAACAAAATAACTTATAGAACTTTGTGATCTTCCCTAAAATTTGTGCAGAAAATATGATGAAATGTCAGTCAGGGCCTCATGGTCAGTGTCCGAACCACTGCACAACTACACATGTGGTTCGATCTGTGTGAGTGCTGTGGCTTTTCACACACCGTGTTGTGTTACTATAGAAACATTTATTTACTTACTAACACTTAATGCTCTGATAAGCTTTTAATTATAATTTGGGATTGAGAGCGGCATAATCCGTGCCTGGAGGTGCTGATACCACCACATGAGGACCTGTGTAGGCGTTTAATGGAGCTTGTGTGTGTGTCTGGAGAGTGTGTGTGTAACTGAGCTGCTATAGATGACGAGAGGTAACGGGAAAAAAAACAAAAAAACAGAAGTCTCTCTGATGTCCAACAATTGAAATCCATGAATGCAATCCATACCTAGATACATAAGAACACTCAAAAATGGTCTTAAGGAAGAGTTAAAGGGGTCATATGACGCGATTTCAAGTTTTCCTTTCTCTTTGGAGTGTTACAAGCTCTTGGTTCATAAAGAAGATCTGTAAAGTTGCAAAGACTAAAGTCTCAAATCCAAAGAGATATTCTTTATAAAAGTTAAGAGTCAGCCACGCCTACCTAAAACGGCTCGTTCTAACACGCCCCCACATATCTACTTCACAATGTGGAAATATTAGCATAATGCCGCCCAAATGTGCACGCAAAGAAAGAAGGCGTGGTTTCAGGAACAGCAGTGTTGATGCAGCCATGTCAGGGAGACGCTGTGTTTCAGTGCGAAAGCAAAAGCACTTTATTTGGCCTTCCAAAAGTAGATGCAATTAGGAATCATTGGTTAAGATTTATTTACAACAGAACAGCACAACCCAGATGTTCAAATTTGTGCAACGCAATTTATGGACGACAGTTTTTTTTAACCTAGAAGGCTTTCTGTGCACAAAGGATATTTCTAAAAAAAAAAAAAAAGGGTAAATTCCAACTTTGCTATGACAATCTGGGGCTTCTGAATCAGCGACTGTAAGTATGTATTGTTACCAGTTTAAGTATTTGCTATTGACTGTTCAAATGCAGAGTTTTGCGCAGCGTAGAGTAACGCGTCGTGTGTTTGTGTGAGAGGGGAACAGGGTCACATCACAGGAGAGTGAACTGCCTGTCAGAAATCACAGCACGTCAGCTGTCTTAACCGCGGCTTGTGTACTGCATCATCACTGTGTCTGTCACGCGACTCTGTTGCCCTTTCGGGCTTGAACTGATGGTAAAACTAACCACATTATTAACTGTCTTGATATTTACTTTGAAAGCTGAAGCTCGCGATTATGGTAAGGGGCGTTATATTTCCGACACGTGCTTGTGGTGTTCGGCCAATCACAATGCACTGGGTCAGCTGGCCAATCAGAGAAGACTGTAGAAAACGAAGCATTTGAGAGAGGCGGGGCATAGAGGACCTACAATAATGTACAGTATTTTAAAAATAGTGTTTTTTGAACATTAAAGCATGTCAACATATTCTGTTACACCAAATAATGAGCTTTAAAATAGCATCATATGAACCCTTTAACTAATCCATCTAAAGCTGAATATTAATATCACCTTTCATAACATTTGACCACGACACTCTTGAAATCTAGAATACTACAGTATTTGGGATTTGTGTCACAGATCTCTCCAAGAGGAACATGTAAATAAATAAATAAGTAAAAAATAAAAATTAAAAATTAAATTAAAGAAAATGGGGAGGGAGGGAGGGGGGGGGGGTGTCCTTATTTGTGACACAATGCAAAATCAAACAAACACCCTTAATGGTCCTAAAATTAGGTTTCATTTCCTAATGCAAAATATAATTTATGAAATATAATATATACATAATACACTAATATATAAATATACAATCTAAAAATACAATTTATATTAACTTTTTTGTTTGTTTTTGAGATGAAATGTGGCCCAGACATGTTTTCATTAGATTTAAACATCTGAGAATCAGGAGACTTAAGCAAAAGTCCCTGTTTGATATCCATTTGATCTCATTGCTGTCTAAGAGAAACCAGAAAACATCTCTAGTCATTTTCTGCTCCCACTCATTATGAAGCACAACTATGCGGCGAGAGGAGGATGTACCCTAACAACTCTCTTTCAAAGTTGAGGAAGCGTTTGAAAGGCAGCAGCCTCGTGAGACAGATGGATTGAGTGATTTAAGAAAGTTGCTGATGACATGCTGTTCCATACTGCATTCTCCCCCTCAAAAACGACTCCCAAACACTAATTTCTCCCACTATCAAAGCTTCCCTACATCTGTTCCGTTTGGATTACAACACTCAACAACAAAACTCTACCCGCTCCTAAGAGCTTTTTTTTTGCCATTTGCGTTCGTTGCAAAATATTGTCTGTTGGCTTATGTTAAGATCTCATAAAGTTTGTTTGTTAGAACATTGTGGTTATGTTTTTTTTAATTTATGCATGATCTGACGTCAAGCTGTTCCTGAATGATAAGAACAATACAAGTGATTGAGTGAGAGATGCATTATGGGCTTAAACACAAGCTAATGGTTCATATGGTATGGATGAACATGAGACTGAACAAAGAGATGCATGCAGAGAGTTCTAAAAAGTTTATTTTTTGTAATGTACTTGAGAAACAGTTAAAAAATAATTTTAAAATATAATTTAAAAAAATTACTTATATATGTATTATATATGCGTGTACACGTATGTATATTTTTTCTAATTATTAAAATGATTTTATTATTATTTGTTTTTATTTTTAACATTCTTTTTTATTTTCTATAAATACTCTTAAATTGTTTATTAAACATTCATTATTACATGGCTCTGTGGAATACTTGATTCTGATTGGTCAGTCGTGTCATTCTGAGGTATGTTATTTCTTGATAACAACCGGTAAAAGCTGATAACACAGGTTCATCCGGGTAACTGAAGTCGGCGCTATACACTTGCTACGAACAGTTTTTCTTGGTGGAAGCTTTGCATTTGGTTAGCTAATAAAATATTACAACTCAATTCAATATTATGTGTACAATTATTTAATTATGTCATCCTGGTATCGCTCTCTCGTTTCATACAAACGTAGCTGCTTCCATTTTGCGACGATTGTTTTGCACACTGTAATGGATTATAAAATATAACTAACAAACTGTTAAGATTTTAAAACATTTTCATCTTAAATATCTTTTATCGCTTTAATTATTTATGTGGTGAAATGTCATGTAATAAGTGGTTTGACTGCACCGTATCCCTTAAATGTCCGTCTAGTTTGAACTTGCCGCTTGCTCACAACTGCTGTCTTCACGGAAGATTTGCGTTCAAATATTTCAACTCAAATCAATATTTTGTGTCTAATTATTTAATTATGTGGCAAGTAGCTGTGTAATATGCGGGATAATGTACATCCAGCCGGTTGTTATCACAGAATAACCCCCTTCAGGGTCATACAAGACCCCAACCAGCTGGATGTACATTTTCCCTTACATTACATGCAGGCATATTACATGGAATTTTAGAAAATTCCATTTTAGAAGCATTTGCATGTAAACTGATACAAGGAAACTGAGAACACCCGAGCAATGAAAAAGAACAAACGGAGACATTTCATATGAGTGCAGATGGGTTTTTACCTTCTGAACAGTAAAAGTCCTGATCACATATTCTGCAAGAGGCTCCGTTTCAATCAGCGTCACTTTGATGTCTCCATACAGCTCGGTCTCATCAGGCCAATACCGGACACATTTCACCTTAATGGACACATAGGAACCCACACATACACATTATTACACAACACCTGCATCTTAATTTGTCTGGGTATTACTTTATTTTACAGCAAGGTCTAAGTCAAATTGGCATTTGCAGAAACTGTATTATTAAACAAGTCCCTGATGGCATTTGGAAAACACAGAGAGGTGTAATTGGCCACCTGTCAGACAGGATGTTATCTCTGAATGAACAACCCCTGTGGTCCGAGTTCACTGGAGCCAATCATTGAACACCTCTCAATTATATTCAACGTGACATCAAACTGCTCTCGTTGGGGATAGTGTGAAGGACTTGTGCACATCATTGTGCTCGATTTTAGGATGTCCTCCAAAATGCTTGACTCACTCACTTAAAGTTTCCCTTGTATATAAAGCAACTTCCTGTTGTACTATTTTTTGTTTTCATTTGCATTTATTTGATGGGTCAAGCACACGAGTTCTTGACATATTTTGTGAGATTCACCAAAGTGGTTTAGACTTTAATAAAGTTTCAAAAAGTTTTTTTTTTCACAGATATGCCATAGAATAACTTTTTTTTTCAGCAAAACGTTCTTAAAAGAACCAATTTTTTCTTGGTGTGAAGAACATTTTAATAATCTAAAGAACCTTTTTTCCACTATAAAGAAGCTTTTGTCCGATGGAATGGCTCTGTGGATGATAAAGGTTCTTCATGGAACCATAGATGCCAACAAGGAACCTGTATGTTTTAAGAGTTTACAGTGCATCTAAGATTAGGGAATGGAACCAACAACTTTGACTGTGCTTGCTATTTTCTATTCTTTGAGATACGGAAACAAATTGCACATTTGCATGGATTTCTTGTTAGATGTTACTTCCAACACCCACCTCACAGATTTATATATACACTCCATTTAACCGGGAGACCATAGTTAAATGTGTAGCAATTGGAGGAGCCTGTGATATTTATTAAGGAAAGAGATAATTACAAGAACCCTACCCTGCCCACTTCCACCAGGTTGGTTACCATGACGATACTGGCAGAATTCTCTTGCCAAATCATCCTCCAGAAATCCCTCACAGTTTCCTGCATGGGCCCTACAGGAGAGGAGGAGGTACAAATTTAGAAGATCACGCAACACTCACAAAACAACTAGAAATAAGATGCAAGGTTTGCTTATGGATTCACAGACAGTCCCTGAGGCAGAGCATGAATGTCCACACTAGTATATCATGGGTTGTTCTTTCTTTTGAAGATGGCTGACCAATGCAGGTTAACTAATCTAAAGTACTTAGTATTGTATTGTAATTTTACAGTATATTTTTATTAATTATTTGTTTTGTTTTGCACTAATAGTAATATTGCAATATATATATATATATATATATATATATATATATATTTATTTTTTAAAGTGGCCAATGAAAATGCAAGTGGAAAGAAAAGTTGGCTTGTTCAAGATGTAGATGAGTTTCTTCATCAGAACAGATTTGGAAAGATTTAGCTCACCAATGGATCCTCTGCAGTGAATGGGTGCCACCAGAATGAGAGTCCAAACAGCTGATAAAAACTTCACAATGATCCCCAAGTAATTGTGGGTTATACTGTTCTGATGAAGAAATAAACTCATCTACACCTTGGATGGCCTGAGGGTGAGTACATTTTCAGCAAATGTTCTTTTTTGAACTATTCCTTTAAACTGTTCACTTTATGGTGTGAGTTGGTTCTTGTAAAGAGTAAATTCATGTTTGAACACCCACATTTTTCCTCAAATCGTTCAATCCTAAAAAAATACCTTTTTTTCCCTCCTGTGCAGATACACAATCTATAGTAAAGCTAAACATAAACTAGTTAACTACATTAACAACTGAAAAAAACAACAACAACAGCTAAATACATTGAGATTAAGGGGGCGATATCTTTTTAAATATGAAATACTAAAAACAAATTATACCATTTCTAGCAGAGCTATGCTGATATTTAGCAGTGCTTACTTTGCATAAAAACAAACAGGATCTCAAATAGGGTGACATTCAACTTAATTTACAAACATTTTACACTAATACAACCAATAAAGCTAAAAACAACCTCATTTATAAATCAGAAGCGTATGAAGTGCAAAATGAACAATGCACAAACAATGCGACTCAGCATATCTCACAGATGCATGCTGGAAACTAGAAAAGCTATGTACACTAGTACTGTCGCTACTTTTAGTTAGCATTCAAAAGCCAACATATAGTCTACTTAATCATACTTTATATTGTGGATATAGCGACAGATGTGTAGATTGTGTTCATGTCAGAATACTTCTTTTGGTTTTTCCGATGCTGTGCATTTGTTATGTGTTTTGTTAATTACCTTGTGTGGCTATGTAGTGCCTTGGTCTGTGGTAGCCCTGGGAAACAGAATGAAAAAGGAAGATGAAAATTGTTCAAATGAAACTCATTTTTATACCTGTACAAACCGCATGCAACAATGAACTCGCTTAAAGTAAACTTTGTTTGAATCCGATTCAGCACTCAATGAGACATTGTAATTTCACCTTTCTGACGCCTTGGGTTCATTAGCATTTTAACCACTGTGAAACAAATTGGTGACCAATGTAGCCTTGCACATGTCAGGCTTTAAAGCACCGCTGCGGTTTACGACCGGGTCTGTGGTACGACGGAGTCCGTAATTGTTTTATTATCCGGAATGAGATTTGGTGGCCTGATTATAGCTGCTGCGGGGAGAAAAGCCTCGCGCTGAAGCATATCCACACGTGTTTACTTCCCATTTTGTAATGATCACAATCATATCGACTGTGTCATTATGGTGTTTAGATCAAGTTAGTGGATTTGGAGCAGCCAAGGAAGCACTTTCATTTGAGCTGTCGCTCGCTGAGGACATGGAGCATTTGCTAGAATAATTTGCAGAAACTCAGCGCAGAAATCCCCTGTATCCTTCATTCGTTTTAAGCGAAGCTCTTAGGAGCATAGCACATAAATGTTGCATTAATCTATTAAGCCCTTCTTTGACAGCAAAGAGTGAAGTTGTTCTGACATTTTAAGGTGGTTTCCCAATAAACAGACTTTAAAGGTCATGAAGGTAACACTTTATTTTAAGGACCAGTTCTTACCATTAACTAGTTGCTTATTAGCATGCATATTACTAGCATATTGGCTGTATATTAGTACTTATAAAGCACATATTACTGCCTTATTCTGCATGACCATATTTTAGATCCCTTAATCCCACCCCATACCTAAACATAACAACTGCCTAACTTACTATTAATAAGCAGCAAATTAGGAGTTTGTTCAGGGAAAACTCTCTATTCTAAAGTGTTACTGTCATAAATACTATGTTCAAACTTTCAGATCATTATTTCATTATCAGCATGCGAAGCTTGTTTGATGTTTTAGTTAATATGAAGTAAGGAAAATATACACTGCCATTCTAAAATGTAGGGTTAGTCTTTTAAAAGAAGTCACTTATGCCCACTAAGGCTGCATTTATTTGATTAGAAATTTAATAAATAGAGTAAAATAGTGAAATATTTTTACAATAAAAAAACTGTTTGAATATATTTTAAAATGTAATTTATTCCTGCAATGCAAAGCTGAATTTTCAGTATCATTACTCTAGTCTTTAGTGTCACATGATCCTTCAGAAATCATTTGAATATGACGAATTGGTGATCAGGAAAAATTTCTTATTAATATCCATGTTTAAAACAGTTATGCTGCTTAATATTTTTGTGGGAACGTATATTTATTCTTATTATTATTATTTGCTGAATAGAATCTTTAAAAGAACGGCATTTATTTTTTTATAACTTTTCAAATTTCTTTACTCTCACTTTTTATTAATTCAATGCGTCCTTGCCGAATAAAAGTAATTAATTATAATTTTTATAATACATTTGAATAAAACATTAATGAGTTAATAAATATCATATTAAAAAAAGTATATTCATGAATATAAATATTTAAATGAACATATCTGAATTTCTTAAAAAAAGAAAGATGTGTATGTATAATGTGTCATACTCACGTCTATATAGTTGGCGTTTATGTAGTCAGAGTGAGGGTCTCCCTCCAGCAGTTGCAGTCGGACACGAGTGTGATCGTCTGTGGGGTCAAATATTCACAGAAGAGCCGGTCTAAAGCTACACATACACTTTAAAGGGGAGCTATATATGCTTGAGCTGGCCAGGAAACAATTGCACTGTACTGTACTGTATGCACAATGTCATACCCACGCAGGAGTTTGTGTGTGAAATTACTTTTGGACAGAGAAAAATCACAAAATCTACAAATATTTCTGCTAATTTGCAGTTGTAAAACCTCAGCATAACTTCCTGCATAAGGAAGACAATTACAATCTTTTTTTAAATATCTATAATGATGGGGAACAGTTTTTAAAAAAGATTTGGTTTCTAAGCAACTCAAGTCCGGGTGCCCCAAGTTCAGCATTGCACTCTGGGAATTGACAATAAGAATCAGACAATTTTCCCATCCAACGAAGTGGATGTACAGTTGGCCAATGATGTAATTGATGTAATTACTCCAGCACCACCAATCTTCATCTCTCCTTCGCTATAAACACTTGACCTGCTAATGTTTAGCACGTGTACTGTGTCTTTCCACCCTTGAAAGGTGAAGCTGCATGTCTTGGCAATTATGTCAACACTTCTGGAAAAGGGGAAGAGGGTGGAAACGGAAAGAGAGGAGGGGTAGAGGAAAGGTCTGACACTAGCTCCGCAAACCCGTGTGGCGTTCTGCTTTGATCACATGGAGAATGCAAATGCGCTGTTGAGGCATGTCGACTCCAAGCCAGCGGATGTTCTCTGATGGCAGGCAGCTCCGCAGAATCCCTCCTGATTTCTCTCCGTCTTTCCGTTTTTTCGTTCCGAGGAGAAGCAGGTCCATGTCTTGAGATGTAAGTGGGTCGTGAAGGTTGTTTACTTTCAGACAACCCCTCCTTCCTGTCCAAACCTGCTGCATTTCTTATTCCATCTGCTCAAAATTCACCAACTTATATTTTTTTTAACTTCAGACTTTATTTGCTCCTTCTCTCTCGCTCGTCTCACAAACATCAGCTGTCTCTCACCGGCGCTTTAGTCTGTCTGCTGACCTCTCTGCTCCCCGAAAGAGAATATGCGCGAGGGAAGCAGAAAAGAGGGAAATGGAGGGATGCGGAAAGAGAGCGAGAGAAAGAGACGGGGCTAATTAGACGCCACTGAGTCAGTTGTCATAACAGCAAGTGCTCGGCAGGGATCTTCTCTGCAGTGAGGGGCCAGACACAAAGCTCTAATTGGGAGAGAATGACCCGACTACAGAAGAGTGCCGTGATGCATGGGTACAGCAGTTCTGAGTCAGCCTGCAAAACTATCCAGATGTCTGGATTATCACCTGTTTAGACACGTATGAGAGACGGTACAGTGACAAGATGATGAGTAGGGTTTGCCTCAAAGTTGTCTTAATTCTGCACTGCTTGCACCACAGAAATGAGTCAGTGATTCCTCACATCATGCAGTTAAATGAGCATCATTTTGCCATTACTTTTCTAAGGGGTTAGAGTTACTTTTCTATGCTTATACTGCTTTTTTTTAACTGGGGACATGAGCCATATCTAGCTGCTCTTTTGAATTGGGCCAGTAAGCAATGACCCAGAACACTCTAGCAACCGCATGGCTACATCCTAGAAATCACTCAGAACACCTAAGCAAACATTTAGCAACCACCCAAAACACCCAAGTAAATCTCAGCAACATCCTTGTGACCACACACACAACACTGTAACAACCCCATAGCAACGTCCTAGAAACCACTCAGAACACCCTGGAAACCTAATTGCAATGTCCTCAGCAACCACCAAAGACAACACAGCAACCCCAAAGCAACACACACACACAACCACCCAGAGCACAGTAACAACTGCATAGCAACACCCTAGCAACCCCATATCAACACCCACACCCCAGAACACAGTAACAACTGCACAACAACACCCTAGCAACCCCATATCAACACCCACACCCAAAAACACAGTAACTGCATAGCAACACCCTAGCAACCCCATATCAACACCCACACCCCAGAACACCATAGCAACTGCATAGCAACACCCATATCAACACCCAGCATGTAGAACATCCTAGCAACTGCATAGCAACCCCCTAGCAACCCCATATCAACACCCACAACCCAGAACACAGTAATAACTGCATAGCAACACCCTAGCAACCCCATATCAACACCAATACCCCAAAACACAGTAATAACTGCATAGCAACACCCTAGCAACCCCATATCAACACCCACACCCCAGAACACAGTAACAACTGCATAGCAACACCATAGCAACCCCATATCAATACCCACACCCCAGAGCACCCTAGCAACTGCATAGCAACACCCATATCAACACCCACACCCCAAAACACAGTAACTGCATAGCAACACCCTAGCAACCCCATATCAACGACCACAACTCAGATAATCCTAGCAACTGCATTGCAACACCCTAGAAATCATCCAGAACAATCTAGTGACCTTCTAACAACATCCCAGCAACCATCCAGAACACCCCTGCAAACCGCATGGCAACACATTAGTACCCACCTAGAACACTCTAGCAACAATATAACAATGCCCTACAAACCACCCACAACAGTATTGCGGTGTCAAGTTTTGCACAGTCAGACACTATTCATGAAAAATCTATTTTAATCACATTTTTAAAAAACTATTTAGAAGAGAATTTAGAAGATATTTTAGTGCCATGAAATTCATTCATTTTTAAGCTTATCACAGTTGACAAATACTTTCTAAGGCCACTGCATCTGTTATCGGCCTAATCATACTGATGCATTCATTAAACAACAACAACAACAACAAAAAACACACATGCAGCTTTAGGCTAAAATCTCAGACATAGCGGATCTCAGGTGCAGTTGTAACATTAAAAATCCTCTCATTTTGTATCTCATCCTAAAGGTAAAAACAAAAAGAACAACTTGGTACTTTTGTCTGTTTAAAAGTCCTGCCTTCAAAATGTCAGCAGTCTCTTAATCAGCCCTCTTAAGCCTGTGTCCTCGCCGCTGCTCTTCTATATAACCTCAGTGTGTTGTCAGCTGGCCCTAGTGCATTATACACCTAAACAGCCTATTAAATCCCTGCTTGGCAGAAAAGAGTTTCCAGTGTCAAATGGGCCGAGTGCTGTCGCACACACCTCGTGGCGTGAGAGCGAGGCACTCTAATCCAGTTTAATCCATTTCCATCCGCTCTGGGATAAGACGCTTTGCTCATGAAGTCTACCTGAGAGGGGTTTAGAAAGAAGCAGAAGTGTTTATGCGAACGCATGAGCTTTGAGAGCTTGGTGTTAGGACAAATGTCATCCTAATCTGAAAGGGATTCATTTCGGAAGGTTAATTTGCACCAACGGCAATAAAAAGGATCTATTTAGTAACGTATGCAAGGATTCTTATTAAAGAAATTAATTTCCATCTGTTATTCGCACCATTTTGTAAGGAAGTGATCCTATTAGTTTATATAACTAGCTAAAGGATACAAACATCACTCTTTAATATCTCAATTTGTTTCTTATAGGCAGTAATGAGATTAAATGGAGGTCAAATGGAGACTTTTGCTGGCCTTTACCATTTCTTGAATGTTTCTACTTAGAAGTCACACAAAAGCTGTGCTTCTGCAATCAAAAGTGGAATTTCAATATAAACATTTCTCATCAAAATTAAAATGCTGATTCTTGAATAAAGCATAACAGAGTTTTCTGAGCTATGAAAGAGCAACCTCTAAATATTGATGATGTCTAAATCCACTAATCATTTAAATGTAAATGACGTATGAATCTGACTAGGTGTTTATTCTTGGTTAAGAGCATTAATCGATGACTATTAACAAACAAACAAACAGAAGCAAGAGTGTAATACACTACACAGCTCATGTGAATGCTAATACTCCAGCTTTGGTCAATACATCAGAGGATTTTTTCCGCAAAGACTTCAAGGGAACCTGACGATTCTGGCAGCGCTACGTGAAGGGAATAAATGTCAGAATTTGAGGAGCTCAGAGAGAAGAAATGAGAAGGTGTCTTCATCCAGACACACAGATCCACGCAAGCAGAGCACTTAAAAGACCAAGACACACTTTCCTCTGTGTTTGGACTAATGTAAATGAACAACCTGGACATTTATTATTCAGCAGGTGCCTTACCTTGCATATTTTTACCTCAGATCCACAAAGGCATTGATACTAACAGATTAAAATGAGTGACAGTTTGGATAATGAGCCAATGTGTGTTGGTTATCTGTTGGGGGTTTCATCCCTCTTCATGGGATGATTGTGTGATGTTGGTGTTCGTAAATCAGAAATGTTGCCTTGGCAAACTTAAAGTTGAAGTACTAAAATTACTAATACCAAAACGGAAATAAAATATCAATTAAAGCTATATATATATATATATATATATAAGCTAATAAAAATAACAGAAGCACATAACAATAACATAAACTCATAAAATACTAAAACTTAACTTAAAATGAAAATGTAATATATGTAAATATATAGAAATTAGTGCTGTCAAACTATTAATCGCATCCAAAATAAAAGTTTTTGTTTACCTAATATATGTCACGGGTTGCGACTGTGTTGCCTCGGCCATGGGTATATGGCCCTCCTCCCAAATTTTCTTGGGGAAATGTAGGAATCCTGGGGGGCGCTCTGGAGGAGCGGGCACTAGATGGTGCTCTAGAAAGCGCTTACGAGGAGCGAGCTCTGGGGTTGGAGCCGACACTGGAGTGAGCTCTGGGGCTGGAGCCGACACTGGAGCGAGCGCTGAGGCTGGAGCCGACACTGGAGCGAGCTCTGGTGCTGGAGCCGACACTGGAGCGAGCTCTG